GTGTCGGTGATGTGTACGGCTTTAAGCTAACGGAGTGAATGAGGCACAGCAAACTGCTCTAACTTGCTGGCACGTAGGGGACAAGGAATGTCCGGCTGATAGGGCAAGGAACATCGCGGGACTGATAACAACTGAGGAGGCAGTAAATAAGAGCAAGAATGGTAACCTTCAAGATAACACAGACCGGAGCAGAACAGAAGCAAGTTACCACAGCTAACTCAGCACTAGAGATCACACAGTGAACACAGCGAGAAAGACTATCGGCTACCACCAGAAACCCCCCACTCTGCAAGAAAATGCATGTGTAATTAGAATGCAGACATAATTAGTTCCTGGAAATCTCATGAATATGTGAAAGACTGCCTGGAAAATCTGTAAATATGCATGCTGTAAATAGCTGCTACCGGCAAGCATCAGGCATGCTCACCTTGGCGAAATGATTCGCATGTGCGCCCAGCACCACAATAAAGAATGCCTGCTTTCTAAAACTCCAAATCGAGTCTTGGAGAGTTTCTTCCACCATCTTTTGCAGCAAGAAACTGACCATGACACTTAGCACGGAAAACAAGTACAACTCGCAGTGGGCTGCGTGGTTCAAACGTTTATTCCAAGGCATTTCAGTGACTACACTCCAGTTTCCACAACAGCCAAGCATTTCATGATGAGAGAGAGCGGGTGCAAACCTCACAGCAATCCCAGCTGCCGTGCAACACCTCGGCAGCTGTAGCACTGTGCAGCACCTCCGGACTTGCTGCGGCAACACTGGCAGAGCTCTGCAGAGCATCAGCCTGATCCTTGGAAAGAAACCTAACAAGCCTGCTTCCAGTCCGGTTCCATCCATCCTAACTCCTACAGAAGTCACTGTGTGCAAGCAAATGCAGATCCAGTGTTCCTTTGCAAATACTTGATTGAGGAACACAGGAAGATCAACACTGTCACAAGAAGTATTCCTACCCTCCAATTGTCTTTATTTTTTTGCAATTTTCTTTGGGCCCACATCTGTTTGTATCTCATTGACCTCCATTTACAGCTTACTTCTTATTGTCTCTTCCCCCTTCTTTTTTAACTGTCCTCCTTATTCCTGGCAAAACTGCTTTTTAAGCATTTACCTTATTCTAGTCTCAGGCCGCACAGATGGTAATGTCAGGATGGTGCAAATGTTTGCACACAGAAGACATGTAGAAGAAAGGGAATCCTTTTGTGCATATAGCACTCTTACCAAAGGCAAGCTCTAAGCTTCTAAGCTCTCTAGGTAAAGAGCCTAACAAAGAGAACCTGAGAGAATTTGAGACAGATAAAGTCTCTTACCCATTCCAGCAGCAAAGAGGTAGATGCAGAAGTGCTTTTTGTGTAGAGTGAAAGGGGAAATTTTGTGAGCAAATCCTCGTCAACTCCTATTGTTGGCAGCCCTTTATGCAAAGCACTGGAGTGTCCTCATGGCTGCAGTCAGCCAGAGAACAAATCACTAACAAAGACTAGATCAATTGGATACACTTTTAGGCTATATCTGGTTTGTAGAATGTGAGCTTTACACCCATGCTAATGAATTAATATAGCGTGCACTCCTTACATAGAAAAAAAGAATATATATATATATATAATTTTCATGCAACTAAAACAGTAGTGATTTTAAAAAAATATCCCCAAAATCCCTAAACTAGGATAGGTTCATCTTTAAAAAGGAAAAATCTAAGTTAAACATGGCAGAAGTACATTGTATCAAAAATATGTTTTTGTGCTGCTCTTTATTCAGCTCTTTGCCCTGTAGTGTAAGGTCCATTTGTGCGTGAAAAGTCTTGCTGATCATCTTCATCCAAATCCAGAATGTTTGGGATATCATCTGACTCCGAAGACAGGTCTGTAATAGTGAAATCTGGAACCTGCATAGAAATGAAATATCAATCAATTTGAAAGTAAATCTAAATTGTGCATCATTTCTCACTGAATTCAGGAGACAGAAATGCTTAGCATCTCTAGAAATCAGACCCAAAATACTGAATAGTGAAATATGCACAGCCACATAAGAATCACATAGCATTCAGACAGACCATACACTGTAAGATGCAGATCAGTTGCTTAGAATACAGGATTTTATAGGAGAGGTGGAACAGAGCTTAACTTAGTGGGGTGTATTTAGTGAAACTGGCCACTAGAAAATTAAGAAAGGAAGTTTTAAAATTTATTTTGCCTTTCTTCTTTCCTTGGGAGCAATGAGCAACATACAAAGGAACCTACCCTGAGGAGCCTGATAATAGAGTGCTGGGTACTGTTCTGCCTGCCTACCACATCAAGCCTTTCCTGAGGAAACAATCCCACTCTTGCCTCTGATTTAACTGTGTGTACAGTATTCTGCACTGTTAAGCAGCACCAGGTTTCAGGAATTGCCAGAGACATTAGTGGATACATGGATATTACACACTTCTAAAAATGTTGGCTAATACACTTAGAAGCTTAAGTCCCAACCCTTAAGTCCCTTTAGTAGGACTTACATTACTTAGGCACTTCTGAAAAATGGGATATAATTAAGCAATTTACTCATAACCAGATGGGGCTTTTTTTCCCAAAGTGAACAATACTTTTATCTGTACTTTGATTCATGGTTAGCTTTAATGTTGATGTAACATACTTGGAGTGAGGCACAGTGTCAGCACGTAATGACTGCTGCATGCTGACAGCACTTTGGTTCTGCATGTGCAAAGAAGCAGCAACTTGAACAGGCTTCTAGGCATTTGTGTAACTTAAACTCAGTGCTGACTGGAGAAGCAGTTTTAATTCATTTCCTAACTGCAAAACACCTTGCTTATGACTTACTTTTATGAAAATATGCAAGACAAATCTATGCTTTGCCCGCTATGAAGACATGTGAGAAGAACAGAGAACACATCAAAGGATAAAGGGATTACTGTTTCAGCTACCAGGTTGTAGACTGCAACCACTCATTCAATTCCTTAGAGAGCAGCTAGCTATCAGGCACCAGGGACTTAGAAATATTAATCAAAATAGTAAAGCCAAGCTTTAGAAGAATTTAAGCAGCATGTCACTCATCAGGTGCTAGTGTAAATACAACGAAATATGTAGACCACTTGAGAACCTAAGCTTGGTCAAAATGAGATCAGTAATCTTCAAAAAAATCAAAAAGCGCTAGGAACAGGGTAACACATCTTTCTACCAGCAAGAATTGTCTTGCATCTTTCTGCTTAAGGCAGTTTACCTAGAACTCTAATTACTATCCTTAAACAATTTAGTAAGTTTTCCCACTATTAGCACATGACCTGGTATTTCATACTGCAATACAAATTGGGATATCCTAACAAAACTAAGGCCAAATAGTCCATATGCAAACTCATTTAAAAATGTGTCCAAATAAACGGTTTGAACGAATTGGTTTATTCTGTGCTTACACTGAACAGGGTATGTGACCATGTCCAGTAACTGTCTGACCAGATATGATTTTCTCTATATCTTAGGTTTAGATACTTCCATTACTTAAACCCATGTTGTTTCTACTGATGACAGGATAAGCTCTCAAATGTAAGTTTGTGCTTTCTTTTATCTCCTTAATGCACACATAGCTTTTAACATAGTTAAAAGTATGTGTGCATACATAGATGTTCATAACCATGAAAGAATTTCAAACTGGTGTGTATCTGTTAGCTTCAGAGTAAAACAGTGTTGATGGCAGTATGATTTCCCTCCATTTTGAACATGGAGAGATTAGCACCAGTCTAACCAAATCAGTGCACAACCCTTGGTGTTACGGGCTTGCTTAGGTAAAGGACCTTCTCTTCCATACCACGTTTCACAGTTGATAGGAAGATGAAACAAAGCAGTAAGTCAATTCTTGCAAAAAAGAATAAGGCCAGATATGACTCTTCATGCCATTTCTCCGTAAGATGCAGGTAGATCATTTATACTGAATAGTGTAAAACTTGCAAAATCTTTGCAATGAGTAGTGCACAACGTACTTCAGTGTTTTGCTGTTTTCATATACAAATGTTGATGGCAATAATAACCTAACTTTAATCAATTTTTTTCTTGCCTAAAAGTTCATTTTCAGAACTGAACGACTAGAAATTTGAGACATGGTTCTTATTCTGTTCTTCCAGAACAAGCACTTAGTTTTAGTCAAGACTGTAGTATCCAAAAGAAATGAAATGTCCATCTTAGTATGAAAAGAAATACATTTAACAAAACACTGTGCACAAAACCTCCAGTAAGCTGCTGCATGTAAGTCTTTCTGATCATGCAAATGACCAACAGATCATACTTAAATAAGTTAGGTTCCATTTCCTCTTTTTAATTAGTTTTTGGATGGGGTTTGTGATATTTAGGTTTGGTTTCTGTTATTTGTTTGTTTTAATAAAAAATAAAGAGAAATAATTCATCAGTTGTTTCCAAATCCTTTAACCTATTTTACTAGCTATATAGTATTACAGTAAGTTGCAGTTTGGTAAGGATTATTGCAAAGAAGTCATCTTAAGGAATGGGAGAGATTTCAAATGCTTTAAACTGTTCCTTAGTTTCAGGCAAACTAGCTATACCCCTGCAACTCCAGTCCTTACACCAATTTCATAATTTGGATTTGTCCAGTGTGTATGCTGCTATATGATGCTTGTGAAACTTCTATACCATATGGAGATGTTTACATATGCTTATATTTAAAACTTTTGTAGCAAAAGTTTTGTAGCAATGATAGTAGTTCTCTGTTAAATTAGCCTGGAAATGGGAAGTTTCAACTAGCATGAATGATTTTTGAGTGATCTTCTGAAGAGAATAAGTAATTTTCTGAATTCTCAATAAAAAAGCCCTAAATAACCTTGCCAGTGATAATTATTTCTTCAGTATTCTACCTTTTACCATCCTAGTTTTTGTGTAACTATGAGCCTTTGACACTGTTCCATTTCATCTAGTTTATCTATCTGCCTTGCTGCAGATGGGACCAACTGTTTCCTGTAATTTTCAACACAGAATCATAGAATAGTTAGTGTTGGAAAGAACTTTAAGATCATCTAGTTCCACCCCCCCTGCCATGGGCAGGGACACCTCACTCTAAACCATGTCACCCAAGGCTCTGTCCAACCTGGCCTTGAACACCGCCAGGGTTGGAGCATTCACAATTTCCTTGGGCAACCCATTCCAGTGCTTCACCACCCTCACTTGTAAAGAACTTCTTCCTTAGATCTAATCTAAACTTAGAATCATAGAACAGTTAGGGTTGGAAAGGACCTTAAGATCATCTAGTTCCAACCCCCCTGCCATGAGCAGGGACACCACACATTAAACAATGTCGCCCAAGGCTCTGTCCAACCTGGCCTTGAACCCCTCCAGGGTTGGAGCATTCACAGCTTCCTTGGGCAAC